GAGGACCGGCTTGCCAGTCGAGTTGGCGCCGAGGCCTGCGCGCGCGGTAGAGGCGTCCCCCCGAGGCGTCGGGGAGGAGGAGCAGGGCGGGGACGGGAGGGGGGAGGGGCGGCACCGTCCGCGACCGACCGCACGTTGCTCCATGGCCTCCCTCCGAGCCGCACGGACACGGTCCCGAGCGAGGACCAGCCGGAGTGGTACACGAGCCAGCGGGCGAGCGAAGCGGAGGAGCGGTTCCGCGCCGGCGGCGGGGCGGTGGCGGCGGCGGCGGTGGCAGTGGTGGCGGCGGTGGCGGCGGTGCTGGCGGCGGAAGGGGGCACGTTGTGGCGCGGCGTGGCGGCGTAGTACTCCCCGGGCGGGATGTGCGCCCCTCCGCCGTAAAAGTCGATCATCCAGACGTCGGCCGGACGGAGCTCGAAGACCTCGAAGCCGTGCGAGGCGGGCCAGCGCCGCATCTGCGGGTGGCGGGCAAAGAGCGCCGCCCGGCCGAGGGCAGTGGCCGGGCCCTGCGTCCGCGCCAGTCTCCCCGAGAGCGTCAGTTTGGTGCAGCGCGGGTCCTCCGGGTCCAGCGCCGCCGCCTCGCAGCCCGTTGAGCGGTTTAGGGCGGCTTGCGAGAGGGTGAGAGAGGCGTTGCAGCCCGAGTCCGCGTCGGCGAGAGAGGAGGCGCCCGGTTGCGATGCTGCGACGGAGGTTGCGATGTAAAAGAAGAGCCGGCCAGAGTGGCACGCAGCGTCACTGCACGCCGAGTCGGAGAGCGACAGCACCGCTGCGCTCGGCGCGCCGTCCGTTAGCGTCGTGACGTAGCCCCAGTCGGAGCGTGCGACCATCCAGCGGGCCGTCTCCGCCTCTGGCGAGGAGGAGGCGAGCAGCGCGGGAGAGGCGTGGAGCGGGAGGAGAGGCAAGTGCATGAATTATGTGGCTTGTTGGGTCGGTGGAGGAGTGGCGACCGCCTCGGCCGTGAACGGCCACCGTGCGACCACAGAATTCTTTTTATTTATTTTGCCCATCTCACATCTACCTACCTACCTACCTCACATAAACGCACTACCCCGGGCCCGAAATCGCACAGAGACAGTCGCAACACGGGGTCCCAGGGAAGGCGAGCCAGAGTCTCCTACGGGAATGTACGTAAGAGCTACATACACTGAAAAACCTTCTCTCGCGCGCTAGACGCCGACTCAGCGGCCGCCCCGGTCTGTGCAAAAAGAAATCTTGAGCTCCATCCACACCGCTCTCAACCTGCAAAGAGAGACTGCGAATTAGGCTGAACAAGGTTTTCCTCTCGCACCCCGTCTCTTTTCCTTTCCTTTTTTCTCTGCAGCACCCTCTCTTTTCCTCTCTGTTTTCCCGGGGAAACCATCAAATTTTCCGGGCTCTGAGCCGAGTCTGAGGCTGGTTTGGGCCCAAAATCAGCCAAATCGGCAAAATACCGGGTATTTTGCGGGTATACCTGGAAAACCCCGGGTATACCTGGAAAATATCCTGCGACCGCCTGGGTATCGTGCCGATTTCCTCAATTTTGCGTCAGATTTTGCCCCAGACCAGCTCTCAGACTCAAACACTCTCTCTCTCAGACTCAGGGAAACTCGCGAGTTTCCAGAATGGAGCACCAAACACCCTCTGTTTTCCCTGGAAATTTCCGGAAACGCAAAGTGCTGGGGACCCTCTGTTTTCCTTTTTGTTTGCCGGAAAAGCTTGTGCAGGCCAAACTGCGAAGAGAGATAGGAAGAGGCGGACGCCCAAGGGTGGGCGACGGCTAGCGCACCACACCCCTCTCCTTAAAATCCCTGTGTGGTGGCGGCGTGCCGTCTCCCATCCCTCCCTTGCCGTGGCTGTTTTGACCGCGCAAGATAAAAGGGTGTCCTAAGGGCTCTGCCCGCAAGGCGCCCGCGTCGCAGACGCGGTACCATTGTGCATTGACAAATCTGCAATATACCCCCACACGAGCAAATAGCCAAAATCCGAATACCGTGCACGAACTGGGCGATCTGCGCCGTGCAAGCCTTCAGCTGGTGCCACATCCGTAAAATTGAAGCCAAGAATCCGCCAAATCCGTGCTTTCGCGCTACCTGAGGGGAAAGCCGCTGATCGAGCCCAGCGTGCCCGCGGCCGCCTCCCGCGCAGCACCGCCGCTGCGGAATCGGATCGATCCCATGGAGGAGGAGGGCGCAGTCGGCCAGCGCAGCAGGCGGAGTCCCTCCCCGCGCCGGAGCCCCCCTGCAGTCGAGGGAGTCCTCGTTGGCGATGAAGGTGGCGACATCGAATCGCGGCCGACACACGTCACGGGAGGAATGGGCGATGAACGGGAACGATGCGCGCTACGACGCCGACTCCGCCGTGCTCGTGGCCGCAGAAAGCCGCGCTCCAGGAGCACGCCAAGATGCAATGGCTCGCTTGCTTCGATTCAGCTCTCTCGGCAGCAGAAGTGGGGCTGGAGCGGGTGGGGGTGGATGCCGATTGAGGGGGAGCGTCTCCAGCTGCGCCCTGTGGCAGCTGCGCCCTGTGGCAGCTAGTCGAGGGACTTGGTAGTTGTGACCCCCGACCCCCCTGAGTGAGGACAGGAGAGAGAGAGCGTTTTGTGGTGTTGGTGTACGCAATAACGGGACAGGGTGGTTGTTCTCTCTATCTCCTCTTCTAGCTCTTAGCATGAGCTGCGCCCGGTGTCCGACCCCTTTTGCGCAGCAACACCTTAAACTTTTAGGCCCTCCAAATTCGGGTCGGAGCGTAGCGGAGTGGGCCCCGAGTTTGAAAAGGGCGACGGACGGGCTTGCGTCCTAGCCTCCAACAACGCCTCCCCGGCGCAGAGGGGCCCCCGGAGGGATGCACAACCGCTCCACGCCACGCCGCTTGCGGCGGTCCTCTTCCCAGCTCCGCTGAGGCCGCGCGTTATCTTTCTTTCACCACACTCAAGCCAAACGCAACCCCGCACACACACGCCGTCTCCCGCGCCGTGCAACGCCGTGCAACGCCCATCACATGCCGCCCACCGCCCTGCTCCTCCTCCTCCTCGGGCTCGCCCGCTCCGCTGCCCTGCAGATTGCGATCACGGGCAGTAACAGCGGCATCGGCGCCTCCGCGTCCAAGATGCTCCTCGAGCGCGGCCACAGCGTCATCCACGCCTGCCGGACGGCCGAAGCAGCCGCAGAGGCGGTGGCGCTGGCGGGCGGAGGAGCACCGATGGTGTGCGACCTGGCGGACCTTCAGTCTGTCCGCCGCTTTGCGGCTTCGCTCAGCGCCGAGGCGCCGGCGCTGGACGTGCTCTGCCTCAACGCGGGCGTGTCGCCCTCGCGGAAGGCAGAGGTGCCGGCGAGGACGCGGGACGGGTTCGAGGAGACGGTGGGCGTGAACCACATCGGCCACTTTCTGCTCGCAAGCCTGCTCGAGCCCGTGCTCACGCGCAGCGAAGGCACCGTCGTCGTCACCGCCTCGGGCGTGCATGATCCGGACGCGCCAGGAGGGACAGTGCAGGCGCGGGCCGCCCAGAGCCCAGCCTCCTCTGCCTGCCCTGATCCGACGCCCGACCCTCCAGGGCGACCCGGCGACCGGAGCGACGTTGGGAGATCTCTCCGGGCTTGGGGCGGTGGACGGTGGCGGCGCGGTGATGGTGGACGGTGCGAAGATCGAACCTCCTCTCCCTCTCTCCCTCTCGCTTCTCGCCTTCACCCTCACACCTCTGAGTTCCGTCTCCCGTGTGAAGGCGCGACGGCGTACTGCGGCGCAAAGGCGTACCACGACTCGAAGCTGTGCAACGTGCTCTTCGCGGCCGAGGCGGCGAGGCGGTGGGGAGGCGGCGGGGTGGCGGTGCGGGCCTTCAACCCGGGCCTCATCACGAGCACGGGCCTCTTCCGCGCCGCGCGGCGAGACAACTTCCTGAGCGCCGCGCTCTTCTCCTTCGTCGCGACCAGCGTGGCCCGCTTCTCGCAACCGGTCGAGGTGGGAGGGGCGCGGTATGCGTACCTCGCCACCGCACCCGAGGAAGAGGTGCCGCCGGGCTCGTACCTCTCCGCGCCGGCGGCGACGAGTGCCGCCGCCACGGTGGCCGACGGCTTCGGGCCGGCGGCGGTGTCGCGGGAGGCGCAGGACAAAGAGCTGGCGGCGAGGTTGTGGGAGAGGAGCAGCGCAGTAGTCGGGCTGGGTGTGGGAGTGTGAGAAAGAGGGTGTACAAGACACCAATGTGCGTACGACCTAGGATACATGTTCCCTCGGGCTCGGCATCCTGTCTGCTGTCTCGTTTATCCACCTCCCCCGCGTGTGCCGTGTCCCTCGTAGAGCTCTCTAGGGGGCGCAGCACAATAAAGAGGGCCGTGGAGTCTCTACACTCTAGCCACTAGAGCGACAAGTGAGGGCGCCAGGGCGGGAGCCTTAGGGGACCCCTAGGGTTCTGAGGGCCGGATTTTTTTAAGACCTTTTAAGAGATTGGCGGCTCCAGAGCCGCCTCGGTGCGTTTAAGAGATTGGGCCCATGCTGCCGCTCCCATTTAAGAGACCATTTATAGAGTGAATCGCACACCGCGCCCAACCTGAGCCATTTGAGCCATTTAGAGCGTTTAAGCGCGGGGAGGCTGGCGGGCGGGCGGGCGAGCGAGCGGGCGGGCGGGCGGCAGAGAGCGAAGCGCTCTCGGGGCCGAGCGAAGAGCTTTCGCCGCCCGTCGGCAAGTTTTGAGTATAGACCATTCATGGGGTGTGATCGCGTTTAAGGGCGCGGGGAGGCTGCCGAGTCGTTTGACCGTTTAAGACCGTTTAAGGAATCGGCGGCCCAGCAGCTCTTAAAACTTGCCTAGGCAAGTTTTAAGCCGTTTAAGCCGCAGGCGCCCCAGGGCCCACCCTTTTAAGCCTAGGGGTCCCCTAAGGCGGGAGCACTTTTGGAGCACACAGACACACTTTTTCGTCCTCAAAATAAATAAATAAAACGGACACCTCTACTAGGAGATGGGAAAAAGGAAGTAGGAACAGGTCCCCGCCCCGTCCTCAGGCAGACTTCTAGGTTTCCTTTTACCATTTGCATTTCAGCACCCCGGTCCCCGCTCTCGCCGCCGCAAACTCGCCTCTCGTTATAGCATGCGTGCATGCGTTGTAGCTTATCATATCCCTTATACCTCACCTATGGGGGAGAAATTCCGTGCAAGGACCAGGGCGGGCACCCTCTCGTTTCCTTCACTGGACGGACTGCTGGGTTCGAAGCACGAAGGCTTCAGGATTGCCGGGAAACGTGTATACTACAGGCCAATTGTGGCTTATGGAGAATGAGAGTATTTTAGTATTGTCAGTGTTATCGGTCATTACCTATACCTTACATACAGCGATTCATTACGATTTCATACACGATTCTTCAAAATGGAAATCTGTGACGATCGTTTCGTTTTTCGTTCGTTCGTGGGAGGACGGTGCGCTCTCTCGCCTGAACCATTCAGCAACGCAGCCGTTTTTCTTTTCCCCCCTCTTTCCTAAGGTCAAGGAAGATGGGGTCGGCACGCCGAACGCATTCAATGTGCTCATCAAGTGCTCAAAGCGTTACCCCTTGAGCACCCTTTGAGCCCCGACACGGGCAGAATTGCCGGATCGAGCACACGCTCAAACCACGCGGCTACACAATGATGCGCCTCATTCTTGCGCTCGCCTTCTCGGCGGGGGCCGTCAACGGAACGGGCGACGAAGGTGCCGCCACACACCCGCCCCGCAGCCAGCGACCGGCCCACAACGCCCCAACCTCCAGAACAGCCCGCCGCCGCTTCCAGCCGACACGTATTCCTCCCTCGCAGCCTTCGAGTGGGCTGGCACCTTCGACGTCGCCGACATGAACACGGTCTTTTGGTCGGCGCAGTCGGACGCGGAAGGCCACTATCCCGATGCGAGCATGACGATTGTCATCATGCAAGGCAATGCGGATAACTCCCTCACCGAGGCCCTTGAGCTCGCGGGTGAGGAGTCCCTCGAGGGCGCGTGCACCGAACTGCAGCCCGGCAATGCTCTTCCCATCAGCTCGACGGGCACACCGCTCCCGTGCTATAAGCTCATGTTCCCCTGCACCATGGAGGGGTCGGGTGACGATGCAGAGTGCCACGCCGATGCGCACACCGCAATCTGGGAGATCGACACCACCGGCTACAACAATATCGCCGTCTTCGCGCAGCACTTCCCGATCGAGTTTGAGCGCGAGGCGGCCGATCGCCACCGACCACGCAAACAGCCCTCTCACAGCCCCGCCCGCACCGCCCTCCTGCTCACCCCCTCGCTCACCCTCCCGCTCATCCCGCCAGATGCACTACCTCAAGGGTCCGGGCGGCGAGGACATCGAGCCGATCGCGGAGCACCCCGAATCGACACGGTCGAAGCGATGGGGCGCCGCCATCGGCGCCGCCTTCATCGTGATGGTGTGCACCCTCATGGGCGTCGTTTTCCTGGCGCCAGTGTTTGCCAAGCTCCAGAGCGAGCACGAGTCGCTCGTCACTGTGCTGGCGTCGGCCTTCGCGGTGCGCCGCCACCTACTCTGCTTGCGCTTTCCCCCGCCACCGTCACGCCCCTCTGCTGACCCGTGCCCGCCTCGGCCCCCTCCCTTCGCGCAGGCCGGCGCCCTCCTGGCGGCCGCCTTCTACCTGATGCTATACGAGGCGACTCACCTGATCGCAATCACCGACGACCGCACCGAGGCCGAGGCGAGCGCGTGGTGGGGATCGGCGACCCTGCTTGGCTTCGTCAGCCCCTTCCTCCTCGAGTCGACCATCTCCTTCATCGTCGGCAAGGCCAAGCCTGAGGAGCGCAAGGACCCCGAGGCGGCCAACGAGTCGCCGACGCCATCCAGGTCGCGCAAGGTCAGGGTGCTCTCGGGCGTGCTGTTGGGCGACTTCCTGCACAACCTGGTCGACGGCTTCTTCATCGGCGCCGCCTTTGCCAACTGCGACACCTCGATGGCGTGGACGATCACCGCTGCCACCGTCTACCACGAGCTGGCGCAGGAGATCTCCGACTACCTCGTCCTGACCAACAAGGATCAGGGCGACCTCAAGCCCTTCATGGCGCTCGGCCTCAACTTCCTCTCGGGCATGTCCGTCCTCTTTGGCGTCTGCATCGTCCTCTCCGCCGAGCCGTCCAACTTCTCGACCGGCTGCCTTCTCGCTTATGGCGCCGGCGTCTACCTGCAGATCGCCGCGACCGAGTGCATGCCGCGTGTGCACGAGTTCGCGACGACGCTCAATCTGCGTCTTTCTGGCTTCCTGCTCTTTGTTATCGGCGCGACCGCCATCGGCCTCGTCCTCCTCGACCACGAGCACTGCGGTGGCGAGGGCGGTGGCGACGGCCACGGTCACTAAGGTTGATGCAAGCAATTTCGCTGGGCCGCTCGGCTGACGGCTGTCCCCTGGAGCCTTCGTTGGCCGCAGCGGCTCCGGTCGAGCGCACGCTCCGGCGTGGCTCAGTCCGCAAGACGCTTCCAGAACATGGCATGACACGGACCCAAACGTACTGTCTGCGAGTGCGCCGCCGCGGCCGGTGTTAGATCCGCGCGGCGGCTTTTTGCGCGGTGTGACAGTGAGCGGAGATCAGATATGCTGCTTCGTGCTTGCTGGATCGGAGGAGATGCGCATACAAGAGAGAGTAGGGTGTCGCTACGTAAGATGAGTTATATGAACACTCTCGTTTTGGGTGTACGCGCGTTACGCTCTCGCGGATAATACGGGGCAACGCGCGGGCAGGGGCGCTCTCTCGTAAATCTGGTGTTGGGACCGAGAGCGAGACCTGCCGCGGGCTGCTCAATTTTGCTCTAGGTGCCTCCTACGATTCGATCCCGCGTTCTCAGGCAGTCGCCTGGTGCGTTGTTCGTTTTCGTCACGTACTGATACGGGTTGGCGGCCATTTGCTTAGGCGTCAGAATGCCCCTGTAGCGTCAGAATTTGCTTCTTCCCCGCCGCTCCCCTCGTCCTCCGACGGTCCACCCGGACTTCCCTCTAGCAAGCCCTGGTACAGCTCGCGATCGTCGTCGCCCTGCGAGCCGCCGCCGCCCTGCGGGGCAGCCCCACCCCCCTCCTCCTCGCTCCGTTCGCTCGACGACGCGTCTGACTGGTCGGAGAGCAACGCGGCGCAACACACTGCCGCGCAGCCGCCTCCTTCCGCCAGCTGCGCCTCCTCCCCCAGTCGGCGCGCCGCGGCCGCGGGGTAGTAGTCTGGCCGTCGGGGCAGCTCGAGCGAAGCCCTCCCGCCGACGCCGTCGCTCGCCTGGGAGACAAAGATCTCGGCCCAGCCGCAGCCCGCGCGCGCCGAGTCGCCGTTCGGGTGCGCCGACGCTGCCGCCGCCGCGGTGACGCTGAGGCCCCAGGACGCGACGTCGATTCGGTCGAGGGAGAGGCCGAGCGAGTCGAGCTCGCGAGCGACGGAGGCGCCGCGCAGGCGCGCGTAGCGCAGCGCGACGGCGGGGGGCGCCTGGGGCAGTCAGTCGCGGGTCACGATCGCGTCGCGGGCAAGAAAGGGTGAGGGTGAGGGTGAGGGTGAGGGTGGGTGGGTGGGAGGGGGTGGCAGGGGCGAGGGTGGAACTGTGCCGTCGGTCCGACATGCGCGTCGACACGCAGCCGGAGCCTCTCGTGGCGCGAGGCGAAGCGCGCCCAGCGGCGAAGGGCGGCGCGGCCGCCACAGATGCC